ATACCCTATGCCACAAGACCTTCAGGAAGTCGAGACAGGTCTTAAATGAAGAGATGTAATGTCATGTTAATTATGTGATCTTGTTAACATTTTCCACCGGGATAACTGCAATACAAAGGCATATCATGCTGAGAAGGTGTGAGCAAGTGAGATTTAGAACAGTACATAATTATTGGGGTTTATGTACTGTTAATGTTTAAGTTTCAAATCTTATATATAAGATGCCAATGACAAAATCTGATAAATTATTAGAGTAGTTCCGGCTGTACTACAGTTGAGATTAAAAAAAAAAAATGAAAAAAAGAAAAACTAGCACACACACTGCGGACCTCTACTGCATTTGATCAAAGGAAGGCCAGCCCTGTGCTGCAAACTGCAGCGTTGTAAACAAACTTGCCAGTTTGTGGAAATACTGTACTCGCCCTTCAACCTGCCCAATTACCAGCCCACACCATGTGTGAATTGATTTAAGGACACCATCAGATGAAATGCCTTGTATTCTGTCCTCGTGCCTGATGTACAGTATAGCCTAACGATAACTGTAAAGCACTGTTTAGCATAAATAACTACAACAATTTTATATATTTAAACAGTTAAAGGTAATAAAAGTTCATACAATACTCAAACTATTTAGAAATAAACAAATCCGGTTGTGCTTATTAGGTGACATCTAATTTAAGAATTGCTGCGGTTCTCTTTGAGCTTGCGTTATGACCTTTCCAGGTGACAGGTAGAATAGTGTGTGCAGGCCAAAGTCAAATAACCTCTGTTTGCTCCTCTGTTCTTACACATTGAGAATGAGGACTCAGACCAATCGGATTCCAGTCTGCATTCAAAGCTAAAGGCAGGGAGCTTATCTCTGTTGTCCAAACAGTGATAACCATCTACACTGATTCCGTTACATACAGTTCATATAAAAAAAAGCATTCACCCACCTGTACGTTTTCATGTTTTATTCTTTTACAACACTGAATCACAAGGGATTTTATTAGGCTTTTTGACAATAATCAGTGGGGGTGAAAATACATTTATGTTAAATTGAAAAGAAATCTACAAATTGAATGGGAATGTATACATTTTATAGGTATAACAGTAAAACACCAATATTAATAGTTTGGCAAAATATTAAGATCAATCATGTTGAGGCTATTTGAGCATGACCTCTCCCTGACAATTAACTCAAGTGTTCTGCACAGATAAATAGCGATAGGTCTGAATGACTCAATATAATTTTTTATACTAGCACCACACCTTACTCACATTGTACAGTACATCTTAGTGAATCATACAGAATGACAGCAAAAAAGGCTGGTTTAAGTGTGGAGAGAGCACATACCCAGCATGGATATGCATTAGTCTGATTTTGCAGAGACCCAAAAAGCAGACACATGTAATCCCTTGCAGAGCAAGAAATCCCCTCTTACACATACAAACGCTTTTCTACTACACTGAGGCCTAGCCTCATACTGCTTTTAGGTCATCAGATATTTTGCTAAACAAAGCTTTCAAGGCTAAGGGGATTAGACTTGCGGGTGGCTGCATTCTGATAGAAAACGGTAGAAGAAAATTGTGGATTCTACCCGCTGGGATACATGAAAACTGGATTGGTTTTAGACCAGAAAGTCCTAGATGGTAAAACCTAGACAATAGCCTCACATATCTTCGGCTAGGTCAGCCCCCATGCCAGAAACGTTCACACTTATGTATTCCTGTGACCTGCACTCTTTGGTCTCACAGTAATGTGGGTATTTGGTTCGAAGAAATTTGGTCGTTTTTGGCAAGGATATTTGAGACTAGAACACAATATTTTGTGGAGGAATATTTAAGCTTTTCTTGTGCTGTGGGCTGCTATCCTCTGTCGTGTTCAGTGATTTATCATGATTCACATGGCTTTATGTCTTAAACTGTTTGGTATATACCACACTGCTGCTGAGAAAAATAGAAAACATTTTCTACAGAAAACACTCAGTCGAAGTTGAAAAACTGAAAGGTTTTGAAGATGGAGTTAAAACATTGAAAGGAACTGTGGTGCCATTTCTGAAAGTATTTGAAATTTCACAAGACAGTTCAATTATCAGTTTGTATACAAGTCCTGAAAGAACTTAGAGTTAGTTCTGAACATAGTTGAATGGTCAGCTGAAAAGTAAGAGATGAAAGCAGCTGAAATGTCAGTTGATGGTTAAGCACTGAAAGCAGTTAAACTGTCAGATGAATTGTAAGAGACACAAATAGAGCACTGTCATTTGAAAAGTAAGCAATGAAAGAAGTTAAAATTTCTGTTTGAAGTGCTCGAGATAATTGAAGTGTGTGCAAGTGTTAGTCCAGTATTTAGCAGTGACAGGAGCCCTTTTAAGTTGCAACACTGAAGGCATTTGAAATGACAGTGTAGTTGAAATGGCAGTGGAATGAGGAACATTTTGCCTTTACTGTGCAATGGGCTGTTAGCCTTTAAGTGTTTAGTAATTCTTAATGATTCATGCAGCTTTCTGCCTTATAATATTATCAGCATATGTGGTATGTACCATACTTCTTTCAGCATAGAGATAAATATATTTGTTCATGGTATACATACCAAACACAGAGAGCAAGGCTTACATTTTACAGAGAGAAAATGTACCTTACATAAATAGATGCATGGCCTTTTCCCTGTTTTCTCTGTTACCTCATACACACCACAGCCCAGGTACAACGAAGAGACAAACTATAGAGATAAAGAGGCAAAGGCCCATCAATTAAGCAATAACTCAAAGCTGTTAAGATCCCAATGTAATCACATTAGCCTCTGGAGGAGGACCCTCAATGAAGCTGTCAATCACAACAGGCACTATTTCTGTCCATCATCTTCCCTTCATTTTTCTGCCATTTGCAAAATACACCTTAAGCATGATGACTGACAAAGGTTGAGAGTACTGTTGTTTGTGAAGTTTTTCCAACTAGCAAATAATATCCATGTTCATATCCATCATTGCATCAAAAAGACCAGAATTGAAGAAGCCTCTTGGATGAGAGGCGAAAAATCTTCAAGCATTTTCAATGAAGTCCCGTTGCCCTTGATTTAACCCTCTTTGGAAAACTATGACCCGGATGACTGAAAAAGACCGTAACTGTTTCCTCTTTCTGTACTAAATTCAATTTCTATTTTAGTGTAGACCCTGAATAATGAAAGCTGAATTATGTACTTTCTGAAAATCTAATTCTTTCTTTCAAATTAGTTGACATCAACTGCATGCATTAGTCTTCCATTACTGTCCCACACATACCCACAGTCTACAAATTTCCAGGCTACATCATCATCATTACTATGAATAAATACCTATCTTCATCTATGTTGGCTTAAAATAGCTGACATAATCCCTGCAATGGCCCACTGTATGTACAAGAACTGGCACATCAATAATACTGACTAACCTAAGATACAGGGAGCAGCTCTCCCATTACAACCTGTACTTGGTTCTCAGAAGTTACAAATGAACACTGTTAATCAAACTACATTGGCCTTCTGCTACAAAGCATTTAAATTTTCTGTCTGCTGAATTGTGCTAAGACATGTAGTAACAGGAAATAGTTTCAGAGCAGTTAGAGGATTATGTTCAAAGCCTGTTAGTAGCTACCAGAGGTTAAATGAGGACTGTCAGCATAATGTGTACTCACGCTGCAGAGTGCTTTCTAGCTGAGAGCCAGCCTGCAGTAGGTAGCGGTAGCTCTCCATCTCCTCTTTGGGCTCTTTCTCCGGCTCTCTCTCCTCCTGCAGTGAGGCTGGGCCCATTCCCTTCGTCTCTGACAGAGGATCAGACTGGGAGAACCGAAGCTGTCGTGGAAGGTACAGACAGTAGTCCAGGCCTCACATCCTCTTCAGAGTCCTATAGCCCTGCATAGTGTCCCTATATCAAGGCTGGGCACTATAACAGGGAAACGTATGCCCACCTGCCTCTTTGAGTCTCAAGATCCAGATGGGACGGTTCCTTGAGACTTGTGCTGGATCTTCCTGACCTTGAGCTGCATAGAGCGCCTCCACACTGAGCAGCACAGTTACAACAGGACAAATCTCCACATAAGCAGTATACTGCGGTGTGCTGCTGTCCAGACAGGTTGTGATGTGCTTTTCCCCCTCATACACACACTAGTGCCGACAGACTGTCCTGCTCTTAGTAGCAGTCAGCTACTTCAAAACAAATAGGGCTCCATCTGGCCAGTGCTGTCTGTCTCACTGTTGCCCCTCCCCTCCTCTCTCTCGCTCGCTCTCTCTCTCTCTGGCTTTAGTGCGTCAGCTCTGCACAGTGCAGAGCTCAAGAGTCTACTCTTGACTCACTGCCAACTCCCTCACAACTTTTCCTCTGGCTTCACACTCCTTCGTGCTCTCTTTTGCTGTTTTCTATGCTTTCAGTACAATTCTGACTGTACTACAGTAGGCTGATTGTTGATGTCTGGCTGCCATGTTCATGTCCCCACTTTCTCCAGCTTTACTATAATATAGATGCTCACTCAGCGGAGAATGGATCTATTGTAAAAAGAAAATCTACCGCACCCTCAGCCAACACGTTTGGCGCATACGAAGCACAGCCTTTAATACACAACCATCACATTCAAACAGAAGAACAAATATGAAAGGGTGTCATTGTGTACATACTGATACACAGAGCCTTTCTCAACTCAACTCCCCGCTGCTCAGCCTACAACTACTTTGAATGGACCAGTGCTCCTTCACAGCAGAGAAAGAAGTGGAGAAAACTTCTGTATGTAAACCTCTACACAGTGACTCACAGTGCTCGACGTTTTCTTGGTGTGAGGCCACACATGGAGCAGTGGGAGAGCAGCAGTACTCCGTGCTGATACGTAGCCACTCAGCTGATCCAGCTTAGCCTCAGCCATCTCATTACTGCACAGCATCTGCTTAGTGTGGTGCGCGCACACACACACACACACACACACACACACATCCTTACATCAGACAGAACCTGCTGACATAACTGTTGGTGTAACAAAGCACTATAAGACACTGGTTTACCGTCAAAACATTCTGCTTTATTACAGAAAATCTGGAATATACTAGTTTCAAAGAGGTACATTCATCTTGGAGGTTTGGAGTGTTGAGGCTGGAGACCCAAAGGGCTGGAGGTGGCGAGGGATCCCTGGATGCATGACACAGGGCTGCTGAGGTGCCTGAAGATGTCCACCTCCACCCCTTAACAGACAGGGACAGCTTCCACAACCACAGAGCCTCTCGTGCTTGTTTTTTTTATTATTTTTTTTATTTTTGACAATTTGATTTTCTTACAAAGTGGCTGGAAAAAGGTTGCATTAAAAATACAATCCATTCTTTTATACTTTTCATTTAGACAGGCAAAACATTAGATTCCAAGATATTTTTAAGCTCTGAAAATAGCATCTCTGATGTCAGTTAAAGGTTTTTTATTGTCTAACAAAGCAGGCAGCCCCTCTCAGTCCTCTTATACCCGGCCTCTCCAGCACATTGCAGTTTGGAGATGACAAGTCAGAGTAAAGAACAGCCTCCACCTTTTTCCTAACATAAGAAAAACATATGCAGAAAGGCATGTTTGTTTTTCTATTTGTTAAAAACAAATCAACCATAAATGAATTTTTCTAAAATCTCAATTTGGCGTTATACTGCGTGTGCCATTTTGCAGATGCACTGTATCAGATAGGTCAGGCTAAAGTCAGTGGCTCAAAGTACTAAAAAGTACAGTACTGCATTTATTGTTTGAGCAGGGATCAGTGGAGTAGTAAATTTCAAAATCACAATACTGACAGATTCTTCAACAACTGGCTGTAACACAAAACATACATACATCTGTCATGTTAGTAACAGGTGCATATCAGTTTAAACCAAGAGTTCATATAACCAGGCAAAAGGAGTGGCATTGGTTCAGAGGTTGATTCTGAGATGTTGGGAGTGTATTGGGGGGCTGCCTGTCTTTGCATGTATGACAAAGACTATCAAATGGGATTGGCTCGGTCTCACATCAGGGATGGAGTAACACAGACCAACTCAACTGGCACAAGTCTGACCAACTCTTAACAATAAAAAAATGATGATGTATGAAATAAAAATTTTTAAGAGTAGAATTACACTTCATAAATATACCAAATAGACACGTTTGTGGAGAAGAACAAAAATATTCCTAAAGTGTTTGAAATCATGGCACGTTTAAATGGAATGTATGAAGCACTACACACAAGAAGTTAAAGGAAAGAACAAAAGGCCAAACAATGCGCTCTATCATTCTGTCGGTCAGCAAGTTTGACCAAAAACTGAAGGAAAGAGATGAAGCGTAGAGCCTCACAGTGGCATTAACTATGCTGACTCTGCAGGTCTGTAGTTGATGTCTTTACACTCCAACTCCAACCTGCCAGAGACAAATATTGCAAACTAGATCATGGGTAATGAACGTAAATACCTCATATAGGTTTTAGTGCATGTGCGCATTAATGTGTACAACACATGTGGTTATAATGTGTGTTGTTCTTGTCTGATATGTGCATGTGTGTTCAGGCATATATATTCCTTAGTGACCATCTACGCAATGAAGAAACCAGTTCCCATAATAGTGCAGGAAATGTCTAACTGAATTACGCCAACAATGTTCAAGTAATCCTGGTTTTCATGATACACAAGCATTTCTGGCTCTTCTCATCCAGCACAGTTGCACACAGTTATGTAACACACTCATACACACTGACTTGTCACTTTCAGGTCACACTAGTGCAGACAGAACCTGATCGCTTTACGTTTATCTTTTTGGCTTTGAGCAGATGCTGTCATACATCTCGAAGCTATATACAGAACAGCACATATATTAATTTTTCACATGTTAAATGGACTTACATTATCTCTGAGGTTGGACGATTTAAGTCATGCTCTGAGCAATGTTTCATAGCCAGAATATGCTTAACATCTCTAATCTATCTCTCAATCTTACATACACACACACACATACTTTTTGGATTGAGTGGTAATATGGTGTACATTAACCCCTCTTTTACCTTAGTATTCAATACAGAATGTAGATTCATCAATGGAAACAAATAATCATATAATCATGTTTAAACCGGTACACTATTCTAACAGTCTCTGAGCAGATCTGAAATCCCTTTCAGCAACTTTTCATTACATTTGGACCTGTGGATGAGTGTATTTCCTGAAACATGATAACTGTTTAAAGAATAATCGTAAAAAAGCAAAATAACTGTCATCTGGAATAACCTTGTAAAGTGTAACCGTTGAGCATGGGATCATCATGTCTACAGTGACTGAACAATCAGTGGAGTGAAGCTTTCTTTTGAGCCTTCTTTCATGCAGGCGAACCATTCCTGGAGTGGATATTAGAACTGCTTGTTAAAACACAGCAGTTGGGTAGAGCTACTGACAAGGCGGCTGTGTATGCATTCATTTGTAAGCTATTTTTATTTAAAAAGTAGTAGTAAAAAAAAGAAAACTCATGCCCGTCATCTAAATAGATATTTTTAAAAATAATGCAGGGCACTGCTATGCAGGCATGCGTGGGGGATTAGGAGCTGCGGCGATTGGGCAGGGATGGGCGGAGCAGAGAGACACATGTCGAAAGACTGCTAAACCCCTTTCTATCTCCCCCTTCCCAGTCAGCACATCTCTCTTTTTCTTTTTGCCTCCTCTTCTTCTCCCTTTTTTCAGATGACAGCTGACATGACTGGCACAGGACCCTGAAAGAGGCTGATGCCGCTGTTCTTGTGAGTCCGTGTTGCCTTTTCACTCGCGCTCCTTCAGGTGCTTGTAGGATAGTGGTGTGACAGCCGCAATCTGGAAAAGCACAAGCAGACAGATTTTACCTCAATGTTTTCATTATGAGCTTGTGCCAACATGTGGAAGAGAACGAGACAACTTGAAATCACCAAAAATCATCAGCGACTAAGTGGTGATTGGTCACATACCACAGTACATTAAAAGCACTAAAATGACACTTTCCCTGCCACCAGAGACAAGCAGAAATTAGTAAAGTAAATGCTCCCAATTTCATCCACATCTACTGATCTGTTGAAACTCAGCTGGGTTGCAGATGCAGAAAGTTTGGTTTGTCTCGCTGTAGTTTACCTGGATGTTTGTAGGAGGCCGGCCTTTGACAGCTATTGGGAGAATAGAAATGCACGTTAAACATTGAAAGCTGAGAAGTCTGGTGCTATTGTTAAGCAACAGATTTTGGTGACCCTGGTCAATAGAGAAGGTGTGACATTCAGACCTACTTACAGGGAGTGGACAAACACAATATCAAGCGGCCAACAGGGTTTAGAGATGCCCTTTCACCTCAGAACATTTCCGGTGCTCTTGATATAGCAGCCATACATGGTGAAATCATCTTGATGAGGACATCCAGTGGGTTAATTGAACTCATGCTTAAGACAGGTTCAAAAAAGCCCAATTTGACACAATCTAACCCTACCCAAATGTTCTGTATAATTGCCTTAATTGTTCCTTTGCTTTGTCCTTTCCCAGGGTGCCTAAAAGTGTTTAATATTACATCAATCAATAGGACATTTAGAAATAAATAAGTACACAATAAACTGTAAAACTCAGCCCATTATAAAATCTTTTTCATCAGGATTCTTTTCACGATAACAGTTTTCACAGTTTATTTTTATCTTCATTGAAGCAGTTTTTATTTAACACATTATTTTGACCACAGTTTTCATGACAAAGTCTAACAGGACAGAGCCAGATATATGATTGGCTGTTTGCTCATTCTTCCTTTTCTTCTCTGTATGTATTTAAATGATTATTTATTCCATAATTCCACATGCAATATTGAACACTCCATATTTACCTACTGCAAGCTCTAAAATATTTCATCATGTGATGTTCCCATTCATTTTGTTGTAACTCCCTGTATGTAATGCAACAGCACTGGTTCTGAGGTTAAGGCTACGTCACATCATGCAGTGTGGTAAGCTCAGCACTCATAAATGCATCCATGATTTGCCAAGACACAGTAAGCACGGGGACCCCTGCACATGTTTGGATGGATACACATGACGAAACGACCACCACCTTATAAACAGCACATGAATGTCAGACAGTTTTAATCACAGACCAAGCTCTGTTGTTTCACACAGCCAGATGAGAAAACCAAAACAAGAGACATTGACACCTTGCACTCAGACATCCCAGGTCCAAAAACTAGATGGAAATCAAAAACATTTAAAATCGTGTTTCTGAAAGCACATGCAGACGGTAATATGAGCTGGGCTTCCAAAGGGAGGCTGAAAGGAGCATTTACCAGACAAAAACATTTTTAAGGTTTGCAACATTAGGTCTAGAGATGCATTCACATGGTAAGTGCACCATTTGACCATTTAACTAAAAATGTGGACACAAAGCTTAAGTCTGACATGGAAAAAGCGCATCTCTTCAGCCAGCCAATATCAGCTTAGACAACACATAAAAACACACTTTGTCCTGTTGAAAGTGGCCTGTATGCCATTCTGACTTTGATTCTCTTCTGAAAACTCAGAGCTAGGGAGCAGATCTGCTGGAGAGGTTGGCTAAGGGAAGCGAGTCTTTGATTGGCTTAAATGGCCTGAAGGTGGGCTGGTACCTGTTTAAATGACAGTATGGGACTCATCTGAAAAGGTTCTCATGAGCAGGGGCCTGGCTGAAGACCCGGGAGACTGGAGGCCCCCCTCGCTTGACTGAACAGGCTTCTTCTAGAAGGGTGAGGCAAGAGACACCAATGACATCACTACGCTGACAAAACACACATTTCGCCTCTCTCTCCATCTTGTTCTCTCTTGCACACAGACATACACATATACACAAACATATAAATACACAAAGACTTCAAAACTGCACAGGAGGACAACGAAAAGTCCAGGTGCCTTTTTAGATACATTTTCCTTGCAATAATTACTTTCAGAAGCCTTGACTCTATACTAATTGGTCCAGATTAATACAGGGCTACCATCCTTGCTCGACAGCATGTACAATATAAAAACGCATGTGCACACACACGCACAGACAAAATGCAGTGGCCTGCAAGGTTTTGTGGTGAGGATCCAGGATGAGGTTGTTAACTTGAGCCTCATGCAAGGAAGTTTGGGTACTTTGACGTGCTGCATTCACCCGACTTGACATGCGGAGGCAGCAGGCATTGGAGCAGCACAGGCAGACAGCTGAGAGGGGACACTGACTGATACAACTGGACAGACAAGAATGGAACACGTTTTCAGGATAGACACCCGGTCCTACTCCACACTGCTGGCAGAGTTGGGCACACACCGGCCCACTGACTACATTCCTCCCAATTTAATAAACATGTATCTAAAGAGAAGCACTCTTGTCATGGTTTAAAGATGGGGCCCTCCAAGGATAGCATTCCTGAAATCTGAATTGTCTGACCTAATTTGTACAACCAAGTTGGGACTTAAAAAGCTACTGAACACCACCCTGAGTTACTTTAGAGGGTAAGGAAGGCGTCTAACAGTGGGAGAGGAAGGGCACAACAGGTAGAAAACAAGCAAGACTGGCAGACACAGTAACTCTGCAGGATGAGACCATGAGAAGTATAAGCGCTGACAGAAAGAAAGAGACCTCAGTCACTCCACGAGAAGCTGTGAGTGCTAGCGGTCTGCGACAACATGAAGATTGTAGAAGTCCCCGAGGAAGGAAGGCGATGTTTCATCTTCATGGAGGCAGGTCCAGAGAGGAAGAGATAAGAGGGTGAGACAGAGCAAGGAGAATGTGTTAAAGTGCAGAAGCAAGAGCACTAGTTTGGAAAACAAAGTTGGAAAGGTTGAAAACCAGTAAACATAAATGGTCAAAGGGGGTGTAAAATAGATTGCCTATATTATATATATTAGGGGTTATAACCCTAATTCTATATATACTGTACTCTGTAAAATCCCCCATTATGTCAGGTCCTGCACCTACCAATAAAAATATGAATTATATACATTTCTGATTTATTCTGCGACTTTGCAAACTGACAGATACACACACAAAAAGAGTTTTTTTTTTATAAACAAAGACTAGACTTTGTACAAACATGTGCAAAACATTGGGTTTGGTTTATTACATTTCCCAAATAAAAACAAGTCCAGAGACCATTTAAAAAACTTGTGTGGAACACACCCAAAAGCGCAGCACATGCCACCAAACATTTCCAGCTGCTTGGAAAACACAAAGGCCTCATAGGGAGCAAATGACAAAATATGTGTGGGAAAGTCATCTTCTGGCAGAAATCTGAAATGCAGTCGTACTACCAACTTGAAACCAAATTCCTTAAAGATGCATTGGGGGGAAAAAAGAAAGTATTAACAATATTTGTTAATAGTTCCATTATCTCTTGGTATATGCCAAATACAGTATGTGTAAAATGAAATAATTTGTATTTTCCTTTCAAACATTAAAATATTTTTGATGAATTATCTTGAACTTGAGGCTTTTACATTCAGTTCTTCAATGTGTGATTTAGGGCAACTAGCTAACCCCACCTACCATAAAAAAATTAAAAAAATAAAAAAAACATGTCATCGTAGTGATCAGAGTGCTATAGTAGATCAAAGATGTGTGTCTGAATGTCAGCTAGCAAAAACTTTTTATACATTTCACAAAAATGTGGTTGTCATCCAAGTTATTGTTTTTCCTCCTCATCCTCTCACCTCCTGATCTATCAACACAGGTAAGGGAGTTGTCGGTGGAAGACAACAGTCCTCTAGAGCCACGCCCACTTTGGTGCGATTCAATCTTATTTGAAGATTTTAATTTTAATGCCTCCAGTAACTATACTCCACCCATGTATTTCTTGAGAAAATATGTGGTTAAATTGTCACAACAAATTTATGTAAAGTTTGAGAAATCTGTGATTGAGATAGAGAAGACAGAAGGGTGAGAGAAAGAAAAAAGAGAGAGAGAGAGAGAGAGAGCGAGAGAGAGAGAGAGAGAGAGAGAGAGCGAGCACGAATAAAGTAGACTGAAAATGTTTCTGTTAGGCCAAGTGTGTGTGTTTCAGCTCTACCTGTCGAGCATGGGGCCCGCGGGGCTTGCGGAATACCACAAGCAGGATCTCTGGCAGTAGGCTGAGCAGGATGAGCAGGATGATGACTAGCCAGGCTGACACAGAGCTCAGCATGTTGGCAAACACAAAGTACAAACGTTGCTGCCTCAGGAAAGGCCTGCAGGAAAGGGAACACTTTGGTTTAGAGCTACAAGCGTTGAACAAAAATAAAAAATATAACAGGTCAGCTACAATGACAACAGGTTATTAAAGTTGTTTTCTAACCATATTATTCCTCCCCAGAAGAAGCTGAAAAACACGTAGAAAGCCAGGGAGCCCCAGATTACAAAGTGGTTGATCCATGTCCAGTGCCGTGTGTCTAGAGCAAGCTAGAATGGCAGAGAAAAGTCACTAAATATTGATGTCAAAGATCCATGTTAAAGTCAGTTTTCCGCAAGACAATATATCAAAAACCTCAAACTCTCATGTGAAACTGCTGCTTTAATGATGCACCTTTTCATAAGATATATAAGCAGCAGGGGACTGGTTTACCTTCAGTGTGACAGTGAAGACGAGGACAGTGAAGACAATTGTTCCATAAGACCAGTTCCCAAAAACCTGGATTTAAATAAGACAGGCGAGAAAATGTGCTTAGGAGACAATGCTTAATGAAGTAATTTAATATCACACCCATTTAGAAGATGAATTAAAACAAACCTGGCCATTATCCTGCAGGGCTGGGTTACTGAACAAATATCGAACACCAAAGAAGAAAAGCAAGCCATGGAAGAGTCCAAGTAACGTCCAGTAGAGGAATGGTCCCCACCGTAACATGGCATTCTTAGCGATCTCTCTAAAGAAAGGCATAAAAGATAAGGGTGAACAAAGTCATCATTTCATGTAATCTGAAAACTAAAACTAACACGTTCAATGTTTAATGTTTTAATGCATGAAGTCTTAAGCAGTTTCATCACATGGATTACCGTGACTTGGAAAATGACTGTAGTCAATCCATACATGTGCATATATCTGGTCAAAACAATACAACTGAACAAAGGGTGGATTAAAAAAAGCTAATGCCCATTACAGGGCCACCTATGTCTTTGATATGATGAAGAAGCAGAAATAGTGACCTAAATGTTGGCTTTGACAGAGGCACGGTATAACTTGTTCATTAAATTTTAAATTTTGCATTGTGAGTAATAATCTACGGCTAAAATGTTATGCGATATGGCTCAGCCTACACCTTTTCTGTCATTGCTATAATCTTTTTACTTTGTTTTGTTTTTTGTGATTGTGCAAGGTACATTCTGTTTTGTCTGTGAAGATTCTCAGTCATCCAGGTCATAGTTATCCAACGAAGGTTAAAGTCAAGGGCAACTGCACTTGGTTCTTCAAGTCCAGTTGCCCTTGACTTTAACCTTCGTTGGGTTACATTCTGTTTTCCATTTTTTTGAATTATTACTTTAAACTTAAAGACCGGCCATTCAATCAGTTAATCAAGTTATTGCTCAAAACAGCAAAAATCTTAATTCGAACTAATATTGGTGCTGTTTACATAAAGGAAGTAATTTAACAAGCACATCTACATCTACCTCAAAGTGTGCTGCAGATTAGGGGAGGTTCCCAGGCTTACCTGTAGAGAGTAGCATTGTCCAGCAGAACCTCAATGCAGATGTGCTGCTCCAAGAGGCTGTAAGCCAGGATGGGCATGGAGGTGAAGCAGATGTTGTACATCGTCAGATAGGCCGCATCATACAGGGGCTGGGTAGGATGGGAGCAGGAGGGTGGAGTGAAGAGGAGGGAGAGGGAGGAGGAGGAGGAGGGAGGAGGAAGGAGGAGGAACCAGGGGTTAATATTATGGAGAGGACAAAAACTCATACACACCATCGTACTTGCACATGCTGTATGTCATATAAGCAGCTTTTATACATATTTTATTTACTCATGGAAGATCTGTCATGTGCCATGTAGCATGAAGGAGAACAAAATATTCATCCTATCCTACCAAAACATAACCCATTATCTTAAAAAGGACAATATTTGCACTAATTAACAGATATTTCAATGTCAGGAGCAGTCTTTACATGAACACAATATCCTAAAACATTCTAAGTCTATACAGGCTTTATAAAATGCACTTATTTGTCATTAATAAGTGAATTCATCAATGTGCTTCAAACTGTAATCAGGTAATCTGATCCATACCTGAATTTCTATAGTGTTCTGGCAAGTTCTGACACACACACACATACACACTCCTATGCCACCATGATGACCTAATAACCACTTGGCAGAACATGACACATGTCTGTATGTATAAGTCTAAATCAGTATATAAACATCTCAATCAGAGCTCAAACATCCCAGGGGCAGTGAGGGAGGGGCAATCTGAGGGAAAGAGTATAGCATTCAGGAGGATCAGGAGGTGTGGATTCGAGGGACACTGCCTCATTTTATGTTCAGCACATCTTGAGGACATACTCACTTGCTGGGAATAGCCACAGAAGAACTGGTACAAAAACTGAGGTAAGATGAAGCAAAGGTTCTGCAGGCAAAGAGAAAGAGAAGAGGCTCACACTGGTGGACAAAAACATCAGGTGATATCAAATGCATTAACAAGTTCACATGTGCTTAGAATGTAGGTACAATAATGTGTATTACATTACTGTTTATTGACCCGAATTCAACCCTAAAATCGGTTTAATTTGTTAGGACTGATTCTGACAAATCTCTCTCTTCACTGCATAATACTCAAATCAAATTAGTTTGTGTATGTTGGAAAATACAATCAATCAGTCAATGTGATGGAAGTGTCTGTCCTTCCTACCTTGTAAAAGAAATATTGCACCAGGTGTGCAATGCGAACGTAGTAGAGATGGCCATGTGCCAACAAAAGTTTCTTGAGGTGCTTGAGTTTGGGGATGGCATAATCACTGTTCCTCACTGCCTGCCTACCTTCTTTACCCTTAATACCTGAAACAAACAAGAACAAATATCTTTGCGTTACACACCAAAATGTTACCCTTCCCTCCATTTTGGAACAACAATTAGAGATCTGTTAGCCAACGTCAGCATGAGTGCTCTTACCAATGCCAACATGAGCTTCCAAAATCATGCTGACATCATTGGCACCATCTCCAATGGAAAGGGTGATTGGGCTGCCTTTAGAGTTCTTCACCATTTTAACTATCTAAAGATGGAGCAATACAGATGGGCAACAATTTAAACAATCTGAAACCAGGTTTTCAGTATGAAAATCATTATTTAAATTCTTCATTGAAATTTTTCCCCACATTTTAACTGACTGATCTGACCTGTGCCTTTTGTAGAGGTGCCATGCGGCAGCAAAGCACAGATGTGCAGTTTTGACAAATCTGCAGGAAGAGGTTCTTGTAGCGACTTGAGTTGGATTCAGAGGAAGGGTTGAGCACCATCGATAGAGTGGCGCCATCTATAATGAAACCATAGTCCTGGCTTGTCGAAGACCAGCTCCTTTAAAACAGAACAGGGAAATGCATTAAAGTTTATTCATCAGTAACACTCAGTTTGGTTAAATGAACAACCCTAGTACAAGAGCAAAATATCACATAATAACCTCATTACATAGGCTGATATCAGTAAGTCAAGGTGCCAACCTGGTGACGCCTGCTTTAACTGGTGGTGCATCCTGTACAGCTTTCTTGTGGTATTCAACCAAGAGCTCATGCAGTCGCTCCTCACGCCTCCTCCCTCCATCCTCCAGAGTACGCACAGTCAGCTCCAAAAGCTCTGTATTTCTCTGGAACAATCTACAAGCATAACAGGTGGACTTTGCAGTCTCCATCTTGTCCCCTGTTAGGACCCAAACCTTAATGCCTGCCCCCTGTAGAGCCTCCATGGTCTCTGCTGCCTCATCTTGAAGCCTGGGGGTTGAGAACAAAAATATGAAGATAAATAAAGATATGAGACAAGTGAAAGATTATTACACTAACTCTATGACATTAATACTAATAATTCACAGGAAATCTAGTGAATTGCATTATAGTAAAGGCTTTATGATATAACCAAAACAAGGCTGCTGTTTTTTTTAGTGCAAATTCAACTTAAATGAGGATGAGACTGTCTCTACTCAGATAGGTGGTCCAGAAGGGGCTGTGGGAAATGTGGTTTCATTTCAGATGAGATGCACTGAGGCATGCTGTAGCAATAACCTGTTAAATTCCTTTTGTGGTAGTTAACGCATTTTATAATTTCAATAGTAATTATATAAATAAATACATTCTGCCTGTTTTTACATTTTTAAATCTTGGATTGCGAGAGAGTGCGTAATGATAACCACAAGATGGCAGTGTAAGCTTATATGAAAAAGTTCTGGAAAAGGGGAAAAGAGAAGCTCCTATCTATCTTATAGTCAGATAGTCAGAAGATGATGTTTATAACACGTTGTTTATTGCTGGATTCTGGAAGCCTTTACCCTCTCGATTTGCCCCCTAAGATTCTTGGCACAGATCTATAATGAGAGAGAGGGAAGAGAAGGAACAACAGCAGCATGCAAGATAACAAAATGCAAGACATGCAACAACTTTAAACATCAGCTGTGTGATGGCTGCACTAGCAGCCACACATGAAAGCAACAACTCACGGTGGTAACTCTTTCATTTGTTTTGAGCACATTGCATATAATACAAAATAAATAACTAGACACACACATTTTAGTTTTAAAAACAGTTTTATTAGCTATTTGACATGAGTCATCTATTTGAGTATACACATTTAGTGAACTAACTTTGTCAATTTTGCTAATTTCAGGTTCATTATCTTTGTTTAATTTAAGTTACATTCTATGAAATTAACACTTTTTTCTAGAGTTACCAGGAGTTGCTGCTGGGGGTCTCTGGTTGGCTGACAAAAGGACTTCCAACTAAAGCTAAGATGTTTAAGTAGGGGATGGATAATTGGACTGCATCATGTTCTCCCATATCATGGGTAGGGGCAGAGTTTTCCATTTTGAGTTGTGTTCTTTTCTTTGCTAGTTATGCTTTTGTTATAATAATAATTTTAATTACCCTTAGTTCATATTAGGTAGCATTGGCTTAACATGTTTTGTAGTTATTGTGGTTTGTTTATATATTATGTGTTTGTCTACCCCCTTTGAGTCACAATGACCTGATCAGCCACTATATAAGATTCCCCCATGTCTCAGTCTTGTTAGGTCTGTTTAGTTAGTTTAGATCTGTTTTGTTCAGCCCATGTTAAGGTTATGTAGCCTGAGTTAAGTTCTGTTTAGTTGACCTCTTTTATGGGCCCAGAGCATTCTATTTTTTTCAAATTAGGTTTTTTTTTGTAAATAAAAACCTATATTTTTGGAAACCTATTTTCTGACTCCTCATGCCTGCCAGCTTGGTCCCTCATGGGTTTCATCGGTGAGAGCTGTAAGGTTATGTCTGGCGAGCACCCACCTGTCTTCTACAGCTGTAGCTCCTATTAGACTCATGCCAGTCTCCACTTGGTTGTAAACAGCCATGAGCTTCTCCTCCCTGTCCTGCAGAGCCAGTCTAGCTTCCCTCAATCCTGCGTCTGCCTGGGTGTACTCCTCCTCACTGAGAGATTTGTAGGCCACACACAACGTCCGGTAGCCCTCCTGAACAGTGAAACGCACAGCACCCAATGTTACAAGAAGAAAACACAAAATAATAGGTCTTGACCAAACTGTTATCTTAAATCAAAACCTGTCTGACCCTAAAATCATACAATACGCACTTTTAAACATTATAGAAACTACTGGAGGCAATGTGCTTAAGTCACTCACTGTTGCATTACGCTCCACATGCACACGTATCCTCTCAACCTCCTCCTGTCTGACGCGGGGAAAGATGGAGGAGTCTGCTCCCTTACAGAAGAGCAGGGTATCACCTGGACACATAAAACACAAACATATAGACATACAAACACAGTGCATGGTGACGGATGGGAGCCAACACTAAATCAAGGTCCACGCAATAAACCTGATGGAAATCTCAAGCTCACCTGATTTGGATCTGACTATTACACTCATTCGCCTTCTCACTGGGTCAAAGTTCAACACGTGAAGCAGTTCATACCTTTGGGAAGCACAAAAGGGAAATGAAATATAAGCTGTAGTGCAAATGTAAAAAGAAAAACTTTGTCTATGTAATTACTGACTTACATTTCAATGTCATTGTTCCAGTTGAGAATTTTCATCGTTTTACTTTCGAGACCCAGAAATGTAAAGCCATACCTGCAGATGGGGACAAAGCATCACAAATCACAAAGCCATTTATGTAATAATAATTATAATAATAATAATCTTTATTTGTAGAGCACTTTTCAAAAACAAGTTACAAAGTGCTTACTATACAGATGCACTATATGGATGAATAGATATCATCTAGGATTTTCTAAATATATTCACACACATTAAAATGACATGTTTGCTCACTCACAGTCTTAACAGCCCTTCTCTTACCTCATGGCACCCTTGACCAGAGCAACCTCATCAGGTGATGAGGCTATAAAGCCTCTCTGCTCCAGCGGTGAATGGAGCACCTCTCCATCCATCCCTACGCCATCCAACTGGTCTGTCAGCCCGTCACCTTGGTCCTGACCCTGCCCAGTGGGCTCTTTCACCTGCACTGTATGGCACAGACACAGGGCACGCAGAAAAAGCTCCTCCTTCTCCTAATAACACAAAATTAACATGACTTAATACAGTAAAATAAGATAAGAAGAGTAAATGCTGTTTAAATAAAATTAATGTATTCACAATTGTTAACTATTTGACACACACACACACACATATATATATATATATATATATATATATATATATATATATATATATATATATATACAGCCCCACATGAAGCTATATACAGTAGCTGGAGTTCAGTAGTTAGATCTGTCTAAACTGACTTCTTATCTTTATATGTGTGTTAAAGTGCAACAGTCTGTAAAGTGTTATCAGGTGCTCATGTCAAAAGCACACAGCCACTTTTCCCCCACCCCATCCCTTTTTTGCGTGCGTGTCAAGGACACTATATGTGGGTGACTTATGAAGGGTCTTTCTGAGCAGTGAGCTATGTAATGACCATATGCTGCCGCTTGTGTGACTTTTACAACAGATGGAGGGACACCACAACACCCACCCTGCCAGCTTTCTGCTGTAGTTTGCTCACAGGTCCATCTGTGACACAGAATCCGTCCAACTCTGAGCTCGCATCCCGGTACTTGTACTGGAAGCCATCAATGCAGCACTCTATGAACTCCATGTTATTCTGAGTGAGGGTGCCCGTCTTGTCTGTGAAAACATACTCCACCTGCAGGCAATGTGATAAAAATACATGTCAGACTCTACAAATCCATAAAAATTTAGTTGCCCATTTAACAGGTTCCAACAATAAGATTAAGCAATTACCCCCCGAAAGTATTACACTAAATTAATCAGTTAAACGAAGCACCACCTTTAATTGAAGTAATCATCTAGCAAACTGTAGAGTTAGAAGTGCCATTAAAACAGGAGAAGTCAGGACAGCACAGCCAATCTGGTGTAGCTCATATTTTACAGCAGCACTCTAAAGATCAGTCTGGAGCCCACATTTTGATGGTCTCACCTGTTTCTGAACCAGTTTTTTTTTCCAAATTTCCAAATTATTAAAATAAAATAAATAAATAAATCTTTTTGTGATATATATTTTCTCATTTACTCAATGACTGGAAATAATAATTAAATTATTTACATACTTAAAAAATTACAGCTTTTAATAACACCCGGAATGCTGACTTTTGGGTTTAATTTTTGTCAATCTGCCTTAAGGCTCGTGCAGACTACACGACTTTCAGCGTCGGCAGATTGATGTGCTGTTCAGACTACACAACTTGCCGTCTTGTGACGGAGTCTTGAAGTCGTTGTGGCGTTCACTACATGACAGATCGTGACAGGGGGTCAAACAAGACGCGAGCTGACAACGAATCTGTCAACCGACGCTGGTCTCCAAACCATGTTTTGTCAAGAAAACACACATGAAATGTGAAGTGTTTTACGGTGAAAAAGTAGCTGCCTGTTCCCCCAGCTGCTTGCTCTCATTGGCTGGATGTGGATGTCAAGTCGGCTGACTCTTCTAGATATTTGGCATGCTAGATATTTGGCAGACATCAGCGATGTGTCGGGGAGCCATTTTGATGCGTCGTTGAGTAGTTCACATAACGACTGGTGACCGCCAATCGATCACTGATTTACCCCTGATCACAGCCTGACGGTCGCCGAGCTCTCCGACTGGCAAATCGGGCTTAAAATCGTGTAATGTGAACTAGGCTTTACCTGTCCCAGCTCTTCATTGAGGTCTGACGTGTTGACCAGTGCCCCCTCCTTGATTTCAGGGTCGAAGAAGTCCTTGTCCCATGTGATGAAAAAGGATCCCAAAAACTTTTGCATCTCAACCGTCACATACATGGACACCGGGATGATGAAGTTGAAGAGCACCATAAAGGACAGGAAGTCTGTGAACATCTTTAGGTACTGAAAAATGTAAACACAGGCACATACTTAAATGCATGTCTTGAATGCGCTTAAATTTAGTTGAGTTGTTGTCCTAGATTATCTAAACAACAAATATGAAGACATGATGGAAATAGCATATTGGTATCACTACCACTACAATAACAGTTCATTGAGGGCTAGGGCAGAAGGTTAACAGACACGAAATGGACCACGTCACAATTTACTGTATGTCTGCAGTGGCAATTTTGGTGAGAAGAGTTTTACCAGTGTGGATCAGAAGAGCCCAGGGCTTGTAAAAGGCTTAAATACAATGGAACAGTGACCTCATAACACACAAGCTATTCTATTAGCTATTCGTGTCCCACCAGTGGTACTTCCGATTATGCTCTAGAAACGCATGACAGGTGCATCTCAAAAAATTTTAATATTGTGGAAAAGTTTATTTTCTTCCATAATTTAATTTAAAAAGTGAAACTTTCTTATATTCTAGATTCATTGCACATGAAGTGAAACATTTCAAGCCTTGTTTTCCTGTTTTAATCTTGAGGATAACAGATTACAGCTCATGGAAATCAAAACTACAGTATCTCAAAACTATTATAATTTTAAAATAAAGAATATATAATACGGAAATGACATGAGAAGAGATCTGCAAAGGTTTTCTGAGGCTTTAAACTCTCAGTCTGGTTTTGGTGCTAACAATGGACTTTTCCACGATATAAAAATTTTTTGAGATGCCTGTACTCCTGTTATTTCACTTAAGCAAAACAAATTCCCATTTTTCAGTACAGGATTGGTCAAGGCAGTTGGGGTGTCTATCAGACATTTAACTCACAGTTCAACTGACAGATTGCTTGTGCTTAAATGTGTACTCACCAAATTGGTGTCCTTCTCTCTTTGGGTTTTCTCGTTGTACCACGGCTCATCCTGTCCAGGCTTGCTCTGCCACACATACTTAAGTGTGGTGCACACTAGAGCTTTGCTCACCAGGATGGAAAGGTAAACCAGAAGGAAGGCATTGATAGACCTGAAAATATAGATATCAAATTGGTACCGAATGTATGTCATGCATTTTAAACTTGTTAACACCATTAGCTCTAAACTTACTTTTCCACAGCAGAGCGTTTCTGAGACTTGCCCTGATAGTTAAGAGCCATCTTTGTTTCCATGCCAGTGTAAACTGCAACACCTTGAGTAAGAAGAAGAAGAAGAAGAAGAAGAAGAATGAAGAAGAAGGATTCACTTTTGAGATATTGAGCTATCTTCACTAATATAAGTAAATAAATACTATTATTTGACTCACCACAGATTTTCTGGGTGTTCTTTAAAGTTGCCCCTTTCAGCAGAAGGTTTTCTGGGCCCAAAGACCTACACAATCACATCAGTAGAGCAAACAGTTTAGTCAGAAGCTGTGCAATCCACACACTCCTCCATTTTCTGGATACCTGGCAGGCAAGCTGGCATCCACTCTAAAATACGCAGTGACAATACACAGTATGACTGCAGTCTGGGCTTACACCGGTCCCGGTGTTCTTGAGAAGGACATTGGCATTTGTTTATACAGCCATTACAAAAGCAGTCCGTGATAAATGTTTGTGGGAGTGCTTTGGAAACAGCGGCTGAAGCCATGCCAGCCTGTTTTAATTTTAATGCTTGTGTGTAATGAAGGATCAATGGAATAATGATTTGTGGGTGATGCAAAGGGAAACAAATGAGTGCTTAAACGACTGTGTTTTGATTTTGCTCTCACTTAACGTGGGCTGAGATAGTTGTGCGTGAGTGCTCTCACCTCACTGCAGGCTCCTGATCGTTTCTGTAGATGTGCATACGGCCAACAAACCTGTGACAAAAGTACATACGGACTTGGAAGCTTAAGTCATTTGTTAAAAGTACATGTTTGTTTTGCATACTATTCCCTCTGTTAATACTAGAGTGAATTTGAACTTGAGGTAGCCAAATCCATGCAGGGTCCCATTTATTTAAAAAACTTTAAGTACTCATTGACCTAAAATCAGGATGCAGAGGTTTGTGAGCATGCTAATTACTGGTGGTTAGCCTGCAGCAGTTTTTATTCAGTTTTATTATCTCTGAATAGCAAACATTTGACGCCATGGCTTACGTCTCAAACACCATTCTGATGCCAGGCTAACTGACAATATTCCTACGAAATGCCAAAAGGGGGAGCCAAAGCTTGTCTGTTGACTGTCTGAAGACTGAAGACAGAGAATTAGTGAATAAGAATCAAATCTGTGCTGCACAAACAAAAGATAACTGGAAATATCAGTCCCACTTTCGCCATTCCTAGTATGAAACCAACCCAACAAGTACATTATGGCTTGATAAACCCTCTCAACTTAACAATCTACATGTTAATATTAGAGTCATTTAGGAAATTTTCAACTGGCACTGAGTAAATCCAAACCCCAGGCAACGCATGCTTGTGGTGTAAACTTGTAGTGGCCACATGATGAGTGCCTACTTGTAAAGGTCAGGCTGTGGCTGTTCACACTCAATGGTGGCGTTGAGAGATTCCAGATCATTCTCTGTGTCTGGCACTGTGTAGTGTGTCTGCACAAGTGGAAGAAGCAGAGAGAGAGAGACAGAGTGTGAGCGTTGACTGGCTCAGGTCAAATGATCCTTTTAGCCTTCCCCTCTACCGCTCACACACTCACAGGAAGATTCAAGAGAGAAACTTTCTTTAAAGCAAGGCTGATGAATGCAACATAAGGATCACATTTATAAAAACACAAGGTGTAACGACAGCTGATATAATTTAATGGCACCAATCAACCAACAACAACAAGTTTATTCTTCCAAGCCAAAATGTTGATGAAAACACCCCGTCTTACTTTATGGTTTGACTCTCCATCCAGACTTGCTGTGGTAACAAAACATGTGTCGTCATCCCGGCTGGACTTCAGCAGAATTAGATCACAGGGAAAGGTCTCGTCTTCCTTCACTTCCACAACATCTCCAACCTATCAAAGAAACATAACCAAACACCACTTGAACAGACCTTTCACTGTTTGCTTTTCTACTACTTCTTAAGAACCAGAATAGTAGTATTTGGCACAGGATGAGTGACTAAGTGATGTGTGGATGAGTTTAAACAATGACAGCTTTAAGCTTTTTTACCACTAGGGTGCCGAAGGACACCAAAACAAACTTACATAACTGCCTATTTCCTATGAAGTTGTTGTGGCAAGTTTATTGTTGTGGCTAATGTATTATTAATGCTATTTAAAGATATAACATAAACAAAAGGAACATGAGTATCCCTGTAGAGTACTCTGTCTGACCGCTCGTCAATATTCACTCACTTTTTAACCCTGGTTTTGTCTGCCAACTACTGACAAATACCCTGGCTCTCTTTGGCTTGCTAAATGTTTACTTTAGCTGTAGGAGGCAGCTTAAAGTTGTACAAGCTCCTGTGTTGGGAGCAGTTGTCCACAGTTTTATTTAAAAAACCACAATGTATTGGTTTTTACAGCTGGATGTTGATTCTCAGTGGTGTCAGCCAATGTTGTTTAATGCATGTTCAACCTTTTGAACACCCGTAAACCTTTGAAAATTCTGTTACCAACAACAAACAGATAACAAAGCATTGGAGAAATAACCTGCGCTCACCACCCTGGATACATTAATTACCATCACACCCACGTTTGAACATCTAATCAGTTCAGTAGAGCATGTTCTCCCCTGTGCATATATTCCAAACACAGTCATGCGAGGCTGCCAGCAGCTTCTCTTTAGACATGCATCTAAGGACATATTAAAAAAAGTTACCTTGATCTTCTCACTCTCCTTCTGTATCCTCCGGTCGCCTTCTAGCACGGTCACCTGGTACTTATTCACCTCATTGTCAGCCTTGTGCCGTAGCCAGTCCTCATAGCCCTACAGTAACATTTCAAAATCAGAACTGCATTATGTGCTTAGTACAACAAAAAGTACAACATTTTGTCTCTATTGGATTAGTAACCACAGGACACTGACCAGTGTATACACAGTAAAGGTTTGGAAAAGGAGTGTAAGACACAAAGAAATGTCTGTGCATAAATTAATCTTTACACTTAGTATTTCATTCAAGAGTTTCAAAAAAGTGTACCTGCAGCAGTGGAATGGGAAAGTGACTGTCCAGCAGTTCACTGGAACAGCATACCATGAAATAATACTGAGTCGGCCAAAAAAATAATTATTTTGGCTGCAGCAGCAAAAGGCACAAAGAATAGTGTATACTTCATAAGTACTTTTAAAAGAGTGATGGAGAGAGGAGATGGTGCAGAGATGAAGAGGATAGAGAGGGAAACCAGAGTGTGTGCCGAGCCAGAACGCGGGATTACCAGGAAAGGTGAGAGAAGGAACGAGAAAGCCCAGTTGAGTGACGAAGAGAAATGACGCCAGGTGGATGAAAGGGGGGGAGAGAGGGAGGCGAGGCATTCCACGGATGGTCATTTGAACTATACAGTTCACCTCAGCCTGACTAATTGAGTCAGGCAGACCGCCTTGGTGTCCCACTTCAAAGCCTGGCTGTAGGCGGTTCAGCGCTATCAGTGCACCCCATATATTTTTGGAAGGAAGTCCAACCACTATTGTGCATGTCAAAGCCCTAGCAGTAGACTAACTAAAAAGGCAATCCTAAAACAATACATCTAAAGCTGGGACACGGCAGCAACAGAGTCAAGGAAACTGACTCTCCCCTTGATCATTTTTTTCTGTGTAATTCTCTCTCTCTCTCTCTCTCTCTCTCCCCATTTGCTCACATTCCCTGAGAGCACATTTCATCTTCTCCCCAATCAGAATTCACCAGCGGAGCACATTAATACAAAACCCAAGGGAGCATTAGTCACATACTTTATACGAAAATCACAGCAAGAGAGTTACGAAGGCAGGGGGCCTTATGAGGAAAGGGAGGATGGATGTAATGCAATGAGAGACAATATGAGGAAATGAGGCATAGAAAGCACAATGAAATTTCTATTATCAACACTCGTCAGCCTCACTAGGCAGTGTCTTACCTGCTTGATAGCGGTTACTGTGATCACAAAAAATAAGGGTAGGCCACTGGTGACTGGGCTGGTGGGGGTGTCCACTATCACCTATTGAAGGGGGTGAACCAAAATTTCACTTCAGAGAAATATAAAGTTAACGCAAGAATAAACCTTCAAACTGAAAAGCTATGCATTAAACACTATACATCACTGCAAAATGTTACTGCGGCACATGTGTGTGTTTGTGGTTGCAGAGGGAGGAGTTTGTGGTTCAGAAGATGGGGCTAGCCCTCTAAATGCAGGGTGTAGTCTGTTTCTGTGAGGCGTTTCTACTGCTCCCTAAATTTGGTCATCAGTAGGAAACACAGGGGAGACATTTACATTTTTGAAGGGAGCAGGGAGGGAGGTTCTGGACCATAGAACTTTTAATCAAGTGGGCCAGGGGCAGAGTGCTTAATCTGCAGGCATGCCAACACTTCTGTGTCTCTGCCAAGGAATGTGAGAGGGCCAACACAAAGCTATGCTGGACTCACCTTACCTGAGCTGTGTGTGTGTGTGTGTGTGTGTGTGTGTGTGTGTGTGTGTGTGTGTGTGTGTGTGTGTGTGTGTGTGTGTGTGTCAAGCCGTACATTATGTGTGTATGTGTTGCATTTTTATGCATGTGTGTAATAAGAATAAGTGTGGCACCAGTGATCAGGTAATCCCAAACAACCAGTTTAGGAATAGCACCTGACCAAGCCTCCAGCTAAATCCCCAGTATACAAATGGCCTTGTGCATTTGTGTGCTCCTTAAAACCATCATAAGATGGATTTACCCTGGCATTTCTGATCCTGCAGACTGAAGGCTGGTCTCCCCCCTGAGTGCGTATTACAGCACGCACAGACACGACACATCCAGCTCATTGGTATTCTGACCAGGACCATTACAAGCTTTCAGATAGACATCAGCTGAAGTAGGAGCAGGAGATGCGTTTTGAAGCAGTCTCCGGTGTTTTACTCACCTGTGCTTGGACTGAGAATGAAATAACTCTGCCGCTCGCTCAGTAATCACAGTCAAACACGGACACAAGCAAGCTACTCTCTCACACAGACACACACACAATCACAGAACGTACAAGGGGAAGTGAGCTACTAGCCTACCCAAGCTTTACTGTGATTACAATTAACTGGAGGATAAATCAGTTACAGGACAGAGATGGACTACTGCACATCGAGCATTTGGAGGAGTGCAGATTCAGAGGAGAGTCTGCATTATATTTGTAGCAGTTGGCGATTCCGGTGAGACAGAAGCAAAAGTAATAATTCTGCCGCAGTAGCCTAAGGTGTAGAGAGTACTCAATGTTTCAAAAGAGCACTGTGTATGCATGAAAATGGCATGTGGGGCTCTGTGTAAAAGATTCATTACAACAGGCACATTGTTACATGCTTTGTAGCTAGTGGAGTATTGAATGCCTCGAGAAAAGCTTGGATGGTCATGTTAGCCCTCTGTTTGACCAGATCTTTCAAAGAGAACACTTCCCGAAGCATAGATGTGATGAACGTTGGAGACAGGTGATGGAGCACTTTATTTTTGCCTATAATAAATCAATAGTCCACATCTCTTACTCACAAGACTGGACTGAAGGTTGGCTCTACAGAGAAAGCAAAAAAACTGCAGGAAGGACTGAGGACAGCATGTCCCTCCGATGCAGCAGCCAGATGGCCAAACTTGATAAAGGGTGAAAACAGCATGGAGAGAATGCTTTACAAAGCCAACTTTCAGCCTTAATGTTGTTTGATGTTGATTTAACTTTGGCACTCCAGACAATTGTGATAGCCGCTGTTCAATAGAGGACTTTAAAAAGAGACAAATGGTGGTGGTGTCTTTTTTTTAGTATCTGTTCTTCAACCGTGTTTCATTCATTCTTAGAATGAGGCAAGGTTTATAACTACCCTTTAATGCATTAATAATATCATTATTGAAACTACTGCAACAGGAAACTTCTTAGAAAACTCAAACCTACGTCAGCTACTGTCCTTCTGCCAAACACACATTTTATCTACACTGATTCACAACAATCCCCACCAAACTTCCAGATGGCCAAATACCTTTCCTCCTCTGCACCAAATGCAAAGCCAAAAAAATCTCAGCAATAGGAGTGAACTGTGTGGTGCTGCTGCTGATGTGTTGGTATGATATCAGAGTTGCAGAGCATAGCAGCACAAAGCCCTTCATCTGAGCCGGGAAGTGTGTCAGAGTGAGTGACAGACAGCGGGTTCCTGGGGTCCCAAGGCAGGGCCCTCAAGTCCTCCTACCCCTTCAACCTCTCGTTCTCCCTCTGTCCCCTTTTCTTTCCGCTTCTCTTACTCCCCTCACAGCGCTATATTCCCATTCGATCAAATTCAAGCAAAGACGCGCAGGGCTATTTATAGGAGAGTGGTGCTTTTTTATCAGCCTGTGTCTATTTGTGGCACTCAGAAGTACAGAGGGCTTCCTGGCTGCTGACGTCAGCAGTGCAGCGCTGCAGAGATGGGTGGAATGTGAGAGAGAAAGGGAGAATGAGACCAAATGACAAAGGGAATGAAAAAAGGAGGGTAGGAGGACGCATAACATTTGGTTGTTGTTAGAGCATTTGCATGAAGCCTCTCAGGGGAAGAGAGAAAATTTATTTCTGTCTGTGAGATGCAAGTGCAAGATGAGTACAGACGGAGTTTGTGTACCTGTGTGTCTCTCTCTCATCATCTCTCTCTGATATAATAGCAGGCTGGATGGGAAAAAACTGAGTGGTAAGGATAAGGAGCCCCTCAAGAGAGGCTGGATTAGTGGAGAAACGCCAACCACGCTGCAGCTTGGGTAAACACCATCAGCAAACCCAGGACCCCCATTGAGTCATACATCACACGCACATACACATACACACAAACTAACATACTACACTGCACACATCACACACTGATAATATGTGTGTTTGTGGGAGTGGTGTAAACATGCTTGGTGGTTTACTCACACATATGTGTACTACATTAGCTCAAGATAATTTCACACATTAGCTCACAACTGTTCAAAATCCAGCATCCATTAGCGAGAGGATAATAAAGAGATAAACCAGACAAACTGGAAAATAAAGGCTACAGTGTCAACTGTAAATACAGGTGGAAACAAGGGCCAGATGCAAAAAAGAAGTGCTGTAAACAATCTGCTATAGACTTGAGAATGATGGAATTACTTTGTGACAGCAGCACACAGATATTTCTCAGTTCCGGTTTGTCAGTTTCTCAGTCCAGTGCCAGGTTTCTGGGAGCAGTCACTGACTGAGTTCAGTCAGTCAGTATACGACTAGAAAGCACATCCCTGAGCCCGCCCAACACCAGCACCTGTTTACACCAGAGGGCTGTTTGTCGCCATAGTTTAGATTACTGCTAAAAGGAGTGAGGTTAGTTTCGACCTCTGTGGATCAAAAAAGGGGAAGAGAAAGAAAGAGATGATAGAGCAAGCGCACATGCAAGCAACAGATCTTTTCTTTTTTGTTCTCTACTCCAATCATCAGCTGTCACATCCCAGCGAGGAGAGAGGAGATGAGGTCACTTAAGAGCACAGAGCAGGGGAATAAGGATGCCAGTCAATGCATTTTAGTCAGCACTCTTAGCCTGCTCACAGTTTCCACTTATTAGGATAGTGCAACACACACAACAATGACAGACATACAAATAGAATTTTGTGATCACCATGTAAGACCAACAAAAATCTGGTAAAACTGTTTTCTTTACACACACACACACACACACACACACACACACACACACACACTTAATTAATTTAGTGTTTACTCACTAACCTTGCTTTTCCCTTCGGTTCTCTTTTCTCCACACTCTCACGCCCCGCCTCTTTCTGTTTCTCTCTCCCTGCATGCGTCTGCTCTACTGACTTTCTCCATCACGAGTATGTTTTATAAAGTCACCGAAAAGAAACATAAGTCGTCTTTTGGATTTTTCTATTGCGATTCCGTTTTCACAGCAGCAGGTGCGCCGCATGAGGAACATGCGTGTTAATGACGTAGCCTATCGAAACAATCGAAATCAACGTAGTATATAATGACATATGCACTCGTGCGTTCACTGTTGCTTCATTCAACACTTCGTCCATGCTTGTAAAATATCCACAGTGTCTCCTCTTTCTATTGTAATACCAGATAACATCTCTCGCTGTGTCTCTCAGCAAAATGCTAAAATGGGTTGCCAAATATACTTTGGCAGCTGTTAACATCCACCCAAGTAAAGTCTATGTGTGGGAAACTATGGGACTATATCTGCTATTAACAAATCAAAAATAAAATGTGCAAGCCTCAAGGTAAGCTATAGCAATTTTAGACATGTGATATGATTGCACACACCTTTAAAAAAAAAAAAAAAAAAACTGTATAATTCACACATTTAGTAACAGTTTCACACATGGCCACATGCAAATGGGCAAACTTTCTTTTTCACACGGGGGGGAACCCTTACTACGTGTAGGTCTACAGAACACAGGTTGTGAAGCTAAGTTGGACCCACTTCATAGGGTTGTCAAAAAAAAAAAGGTATCAGAAGTGCTCACACAGGCCTTCTTTCACTACATCACAATAGGAACCCATGCAGTCGTGATTCAACAGTAATAAACAAATTGTAATCTTTGATTGGGTTGGTGCACTGACAAAGCTTGTTCTTACCTGTACCAGGAAGATGATAAGGAAGTAGAAATTGGCAATTCTTCTAAACTGTTCAAACAGGTTCTTTGGTAGAAAGTTCCAAACTGTATACTGGGGGGGGGGGGGGAGGAGAGAAACACATGCATGTAAGTCACAGAGAAATCACATATTAAACTGTAAGTGTTAGAGTTTGTGGACTGCCTTTCACTGCTGTTTTCTGTGCAATATCCCAATCCAGGCACAATGTTTTTAAACTGAATTTAGGGAGATTAAAGAAAGGGTTGGCAAGGGGAGAGAGATTAGACGCATTCAATATTCACAGACTCTTGCATGTATACATTCTCTGTCTCAGCTGGGGAGGGGGAAGGGGAAAGGCAACTTCAATAGCTTGGAGTCTCTGTTCCTTGTACTGCCTAGGGAGACAGCCCTTGGGGGACCACAGGCATTCCATTGATTCCGATTAGCAATTTATCTCTTTAATTTGGCTATTCTTGAATGCAAAGCCAATTAACTTATCAGGTTGGTGACTGTTGCTGTGTGTTTTGTTCTTTTTTTAAGTGGCCATAACTGCTGATACCATCAGGACTGAAGCAACACTTTTATCTCTTAAATCCCTGAGGGCCGGCTCAACAATACCCTACTGGTAACTTTGTGCCACACAACAAAGCACCAGGGCGAAAAACACAAATACATGCACAATTCCACATGCCTGCGCACACGCTTGCACACTCGCATAGAAACTGCAATAAGGCACTGTTTATGAAGGGGAATTTCTGCATGGGGACAGTGTTGAAACGCAGCGGCAGCAGAATGGCCCATCTCATTTTGCCAGAGAGAAGAAAAAAGAAAAAAAAGAGTGAAAGTAATGAGAAAAGGGGGGTGGCAGCAGGGAGGGTAGCTGAGTGTAGTGGTGCAGTAGCAGTGAGAGCAAGAGAAGAGAGGCAGAGATTGGTCACTGCAGAGTGCAAAAGCAACAGGATGATGGAGAGCAGAGGCATGGAGGAGCATAAACACTACAGCCGGGGTAATTAAAGGCTGTTTACCCTGACATACTGGCAGGAGCCAATTGATTGGCCCATCCTCACTGGGATCCTTTGCACCACCATAAATCCCACTGCCGTCTCACTCTCACATCACTTCCTTCTTCTCATCACATTCACCCTTCATATCCATAAGCGAACCTGCCTGAACCTGCCGCTGACACAGGACTAAGGGGTAAGATTTAGCTGAGGGAGGGGGTGCAGTCCTTCAGAGCCCAGGGAGAAACAACCGTATTTCCCACCCTGCCAGTACATTAATAGCAGCGATGTATTTCACTCCCACAGCTAGTGTTCCCCTGACGGCCTCGCCTTCCGCCGGGAGCAAATAAGCATGTGGAGAGGCAGTGGGAGCAGGAAGGCATGGGAATGTGGATGTAATTTTGCATTCCAAGCGTTAGATAAGAAAAGAAAAATGCCTGAAGGAAGGTGAAACATAATACACAGAAGAGCTGAGAAAAAAAACTAAGGTATATGAATTTCATCATAAGGCCCGACTACAAAAAGGCATAAATGTATGTGAGTGTGTATTTTACCTTGGAGGACACAATCCTGTTATCACAGAACTTGGGTGGGATGAAAACCTCATTGGCAGAACATGACCGATGACCAACATAGATAGTCCTACTGTCTACTCTTCTCTCATCACCGCCAAGCTAGAGGAGGGAGCAGCGGAGGGGGGTTGTGGATGGGTAGAGATGAAGATAAAAAGAGGAAGGAAAGAGAGGACATGTTAGCGATCCTAGGTACTTTTCTGCACTTAAACAGAGATTAGATATTGAACCTGCTCAGTTAAATCTAGGGATGCACCAAAATGAAAATTCTTCTTGGCAGCCAAAACCGAATATAATGGAAAAATTTGCCTAACACTGAACAAGTAAATTCACATTTTTGCCATTTTTTTTTACCATTGCATAAATTAAATAGTCAAAATGTGCTTTGTAGGATTTGGAGGGACTATGGTGGGCGGGTCCGGTATAGTAAATGTGTCCATTTACTTTTACCGTACACATTAGGGTGCCACTCAAAAATAAAGTTTCTAATTTTCATCTTCCTACCCCCCAAATGTGTTAATAATGTGACAAAAACTAAGTTGACAAAATTTTAATGTTTTTTAATAATTTTTACTGGTAGCTCAACATTTTCTGATTTTATCATGTAATATTAACTTTAATATCACAAGTTAGAATAATGTAAAACTCCTCAAAAAGAAGACACATAGCTGCTAACAGTTACTTCATAAGTTAATAATAAACACTTAAGTATTCATAAGTGTCCAGAGAATGACTGTATTGCAGCTTAAAAAACAGCTACATGTGTTTTGTTGTAGGCTAGCTCTCCAGCTCACAGAGTAGCTGCAGATTTCTATGAAGTGGACGAAACACATACACAAACCAGATAGACTTTCAGATAGACCTTAATTATGGAAGTGTTGGAAGTGGCATAAGTGGGCGGCTTTGACTCAGGGTAGAACGGTCGTCCCCTTAAAGGAGGGTTGGGAACCAGAAATTGCTCCTGGTGGCTGTGCCATCAATGTGTGAATGAGTTAATTTCTGTTTCTGATGAGCAGTTGGGTCTCTGCTCATAGGTGGGTGAATGTGATGTAGTGTAAAGCACTTTGAGTGGTCGAAAAGACTAGAAAGGTGCTATAGAAATATAGCCCATTTACCATATGTGACAGTTCATTCGGAATTGGGGGCGAAACCGGAAAATGTTCAGACTGTAGATCACCGAGCCCGGTGGAAAGCTCTGAGAGCCTAAATGTGTACGTCCGCACTGCGCTCCAACAAATAGAAGCGACAGATGCAGAAGAAGCTCTTGTTAAGTGACCTCTCTTGAAGTGTCCTTCTTTACTGTACCAGAAAATAACTGGTTGGTGGTGCTAAAAATGAGAATAATTAAGATTAACATGACACACAGATGCGACATGGTGGTGTAGTGGTTAGCACTGTCCCCTCACAGCAAGAGGTTTTGTGGATCAAGGCCCAGGCCTTTCTTTGTGGAGTTTGCATGTTCTCCCCATGTCTGTGTGGGTTCTCTTCATGTTCTCCTGCTTCCTCCCACTGTCCAAAGACATCCATAGGTTAATTGGTGACTCTTTGCCCTTAGGTCTGAACATGTGTAGGACTTGTTTGTCTCTATGAGTTAGCCCTGTGATGAACGGGCAACCTGTCCAGGGTTCACCAATGACAGCAGGGATTGGCTCCAGCCTCTTCGCGACCCTGCACAGAGTTAACTATACTACTGATTACGGCTGCAATAGTGCTAACCCAAAAATATTATTCTGATTACATAGTATTTAAACCAAATAATAACACAAATGAGAATATGAAAAAGAACAGTTAAATTATATAAAAAATGATAAACAATACTTACTCAAGGAATAATTTACTTTGGTAGAGAAATTTTGAATTAAATAACATTTTATCGCAATGAAAGTAAATATAAAAACATTGAGCCCATTGAGCTACCAGTAAATATTAATATATCTGAATGAAACTTTTCAGTTACTATGCATCACAAAAGGAACAGAATGAGGGGGTGGGACCTGGGAAAATGTTGAAAAAAAAAAAATTGGCCATTACACTGAGTGGCACCCTAGTACACATGTAATATGTTTTATACTTTCTGTGAATATAATCCAATAAATCTTTTTCCATACTGTATAGACACCTTATTTTGAAAACCGGACATGTCAAACATCTGACCCAATATTATAAATGTTGTTGTATGTGGTTCTCGTATAGCGTAACATGAAGACATAGACTCTTTTCAGGTAAGACTCTCATACTGCAACACTTGTCTTTGTAAAGAGAGAAAATGAGAGGATAAAGTCGCTAACCTGCCTGTCAGTTCGCACTGGTCCGTTTCACTTACCATAAAGGCTTGAATACGTGTGCACTCCAAATTTAAGTACGACTAGCTTAATCGCTTTCGAGTGACAGAAACACTCAAAGCGGGTCAGACCGTTGCCTTTTCTAAGAAGTCAGCCACAGATGGAGTGGATGTGCTAGGAGACAATTCAGCAGAACAGTGTCTGCAAACAGCAAATTTTGCATTTTTCTCGGACACTTTAAAATGCTTTCACACTTCCAAACTTTAATCGGTCTTTAGACTTATTAGGCTGAACACTGAAAGTGCTATTTTTTTCTATTTTCGGCCAAATAATTTCGGTGGCCAAACATTCAGTGCATCCCTAGTCAAATCTCACAAAAGAAAAAAGTCTCATACAATATACAAGAATCAGTGGAAGGTAAGCCAAAATTTAAACCCACCATCTGAAACGTGGGGGGATGTAGAATAAATCAACAACAACAAAACAATTGTTTTATGGTGCACTGTTATTTCAGGTGCAGCAAATCAACAAAAATGAGGATTTTTTGTGGCCATGAAATATTTTACATTCTGGCGAGGCCTAAAGTCCACCCAGGTCAAGAATTAAGAGATTAGAATTTCTACTGTGGTGCAGAAAATTAAAATGACTTGAAAAGCACTCTACCGGAAAACTGTTGAGCACAAGCCAATAACTCAAGAGGGGGGACAAAGAAAAGTATGACAAGGGTCAACGGGCCAAAATGGGAATTGTGCGGGGACTATAACTTAATTTGTTCTCTCCCAGGTGGTCACTCATCAATGATAAACGAGTAATAAATGCGGGCAGCCCAGGGGAAAAATGCTGTGCTCAGATTTATGGGTTGAGCTGCCTTGTCGTGATGCAGATGGCAGGGTGATACACCTTATGTCTAAAGGGGGAAATAATTCAGGAACCGGGTCAGGAGCCAGAGACATGCTGGACATGAGGTGGCTGGGGCATTCCTCTTCCATAAAAGACAGGTGGGGTGAATCACAGAGCAAGGTTGTTGTCTTAACTTTACCTTATAGTAGCTCTCCTTACATAAATCTCATAGGAGTATTAATATGTAGTATAAATGATGACCCAAAAAGGAGTTACGGAAATTGTCAGGTGGGACTTTTTCCTTTTTGAATTTTAAATCAGTTTTTTTCCCCACACTGTGTGGGACTGATTGGGTTCATTCTTCTGTGTGTGAAGTAACCTGAGGCTAAGAAACAGAATTTCATGCGGATAGGTCATGTCCGAACAATGCTGAATCTGTTAAAGAAAAGTAGTAGCAATACCAATACAGATCCAGTATATTATATTATCACTACCATTGAAAATTCATTTTGGATAAGGATCTTGAATGAATCCCAGCTGCACACAAGTACACACAATTTTTTTTTCTGTCCAAAAGAATTTAGCCTAGAAAACTTGGCTTATGCTGTTCTCTCAATGGCCTCAATTTCTATTCCTGACATCCCACACACAAGGAATCCTGAGGTTTCGGGTAAACAGCCAATAAGGCAGAGGGATCATGGTAGCAACAACGCCCGTCTACAGTAAGTATCTCAACATACATTGTACTACATTAGTACTTAAAATTACCAAAGATTATACTGAAAATTCCCACCCTACACATCTTTGCAAGCAACCAGTGAACCACTGATTTATTTATATTGTGCACTTTTACATGTATACACGCATTATTTCAAATGGTGATTATTTAAATCACATTAACAAAGTGACAAACTGACTCAAAGTCGAGTTCAAAACTATTCATTCTTTTCTACTCTGACAGTCAATGTGACGACTCTACCTTAAATGTAGTTGTGCTCTCAGCACAAGTACAGTGGGTACGGAAAGTATTCAGACCCCTTTAAATTTTTCACTCTTTGTTTCATTGCAGCCATTTTCCAAAAATCAAAAAAGTTCATTTTATTTCTCAGTAATGTACACTCTTCTTGACTCATCTTGACAGAAAAAAACAGAAATGTAGAAATTTTTGCAAATTTATTAAAAAAGAAAAACTGAAATATCACATGGTCATAAGTATTCAGACCCTTTGCCGTGACACTCATATTTAACTCAGGTGCTGTCTATTTCTTCTGATCATCCTTGAGATGGTTCTACACCTTCATTTGAGTCCAGCTGTGTTTGATTATACTGATTGGACTTGATTAGGAAAGCCACACACCTGTCTATATAAGACCTTACAGCTCACAGTGCATGTCAGAGCAAATGAGAATCATGAGGTCAAAGGAACTGCCTGAGAGCTCAGAGACAGAATTGTGGCAAGGCACAGATCTGGCCAAGGTTACAAAAAAATTTCTGCTGCACTTAAGGTTCCTAAGAGCACAGTGGCCTCCATAATCCTCAAATGGAAGACGTTTGGGACGACCAGAACCCTTCCTAGAGCTGGCCGTCCAGCCAAACTGAGCTATCGGGGGAGAAGAGCCTTGGTGAGAGAGGTAAAGAAGAACCCAAAGGTCACTGTGGCTGAGCTCCAGAGATGCAGTCGGGAGATGGGAGAAAGTTGTAGTAAGTCAACCATCACTGCAGCAATCCACCAGTCGGGGCTTTATGGCAGAGTGGCCCGACGGAAGCCTCTCCTCAGTGCAAGACACATGAAAGCCCGCATGGAGTTTGCTAAAAAACACCTGAAGGACTCCAAGATGGTGATAAATAAGATCCTCTGGTCTGATGAGACCAAGATAGAACTTTTTGGCCTTAATTCTAAGCGGTATGTGTGGAGAAAACCAGGCACTGCTCATCACCTGTCCAATACAGTCTCAACAGTGAAGCATGGTGGTGGCAGCA